AGGGAGGGAAAGACTGCAGAAAGACCTGGATAGGTTGCAAGGGTGGGCTAACAAAAACAGGATGCGTTTCAATATGGACAAGTGTAGGGTGCTGCACTTGGGCAGTAATAGTCGGCAACACACTTATAAGATGGGGAAACTCCCTTCTTGAGAGCACAGAGGCAGCAAGGGATCTTGGAGTCGTCATTGACTCCAAGATGAACGTGGGCCGACAATGCAAGGTCATGGTCAGCAGGGCTAACCGGACCCTATCGTGCATTCACAGGTGCATCTCAAGTAGGGCCAGGTGATCCTCCCCCTCTACGCGACACTGGTCAGGCCACAGCTAGAGTACTGTGTCCAGTTCTGGGCGCCCCACTTCAAGAGGGATGTGGACAACATTGAGAGGGTCCAGAGGAGGGCCACCCCCATGATCCGGGGACAGCAGGGCAGACCCTACAATGAGAGGCTACGGGACCTGAACCTGTTCAGCCTTCCCAAGAGAAGGCTGAGGGGGGAGTTTGTGACCGTCTATAAACTCACTAGGGGGGACCAGAAGGGTTTGGGGGAGACCTTGTTTCCCCTAGTGCCCCCTGGGATAACAAGGAATAACAGCCACAAGTTGTTGGAGAGTAGGTTTAGATTAGACATCTGTAGGAACTACTTCCCTTGGAAGTTGGTTCCAGATCCTAGCTGCCCTAACTGTGAAGTGGTGCTGGCTCCTACCCTGGGGGTCTTTAAGAAGTGGCTCGATGCCTACCTGGCTGGAGTCACTTGAGCCCAGTTTCCCTCCTGCCCAGGCAGGGGGTCGGACTTGAAGATCTACAAGGTCCCTTCCAACCCTACTTCTATGATTCTATGATCAGAGGGCAAGAGAATAGGCCTTATGAAGAGGCTGAGAACCATGGGACTCTTCAGTCTGGAAAAGCGCAGGCTCAGGGGGGACCTGGTGGCTGCCTATAAGTATATAAGGGGTGTTCATCAGGATCTGGGAGAGCGTCTGTTCACCAGAGCACCCCAAGGGAAAACAAGGACCAACGGTCATAAACTCCTAGAAGACCATTTTAGGCTGGACATAAGAAAATTTCTTTACTCTCCGAGCCCCCAAGACCTGGAATAGACTCCCTCCAGATGTGGTGCAGGCACCTACTGTAGACTAATTCAAGAAACATTTGGATGCTTATCTTGCTGGGGTCCTTTGACCCTAGCTGGCCAACTTCCCCCAGGGCAGGGGACTGGACTTATAGTTTCATAGTTTTAGGGTCGGAAGGGACCTAATAGATCTTCTAGCCTGACCCCCCGCCAGGGCGGGAGAACAACAAAAGAACCCTAAAAACAAAAAACGGGACTCAAATGAGTCCAGCCAGACTTGATTGTCTTCGAGGTCCCTTTCAGCCCTAATGTCTATGAAACTAGCAATTTCACTTAGGGGTGGCTTTGTACCTTTTAACAAAGCTCCTGTGCTCTAGAACTATTGGACCAGGGCCTGTTAAAATATACCACCTCCTTTATCCTGAAGGTAACTTCATAGTATGTCAGTTAATTTCACTGATCTGGTAATGGCGATGAGCAACTGCAAAATTCATTGGACAACATGTCCCAGTGAATGTGTGTATGCTGAATGTAGAGTGATATTTGAGTGCTACGGACTTCCTCCATAACTACTTGGTTATCTCCAGGGATCCTAGAAATGTTTGCCATGGAAAAACATGTAACTTTTGTTTTTACAGAGACTGTTCTAGAATCCCCAGGGGAAAGAAAAAAAAAAAAAAAAACTTACTGAAAATAAAATGTTAGTGGGAGCCAGCTGTTTTCATGGCCACTGTGGCAGCCAGCTAGGGAGGAGGAGAAGCCACTGGTGCACAGAGAAGCAGCCAAGATGGCAGCTGTCCCCTCCTCCCTCTGCCACTGATCCTCTTGAGAAGGCTGTTTTGTGGCTCTGCCCCCTCCACCGATCAGCAGCGAGGGGTTGGGCTGCCACTGGAAAATATGGAGTTTTGGATTTTTAATTGGAGAATTTGGGGGGTTTTAATCGCAGAAAACTAGGATGCCTGGTTATCTCTTAGAAATGACTGACCACTTTTTTTTCCTGTATAGATTTTAGTTCTAGACACTTATAATCCTCCCCAAGAGCAGTCATTTGGCCAGAAGTCTGTCAGAGAAGTGCCATTTGTAAGTGATAACAATACTAAAATGCAAGTAGCAAGAAAAAGAGCCACTATACTCTGGGACAGGAGCCTGGAAGATGTGATGGAGGTTGATGATTGCATTATGCATGACAATGAGATGCAGGCAGAACAAGAAATGGTAAAAGACGTGCCAAAGGCCGAGGAAGAGCATGATAAGTCAATAGAGATGCCAAAGGAGAAGATGGAAGACCATGAAGGAAGTGAGATAGTTATTGGAAAAGAAGAGTATCTGGTATGTACCAGGAATCTATTCAGAATTGGTACACAACCTATTCTTGTATTGGGGTGGAATTCTTACTGCAGTGTATTGGAGAAGGGACTCTCCCCTCCCCCATAGAGACTGTGTAAACAGCTTTTAAAACCTGATTCATTAATGGGAGTGTAATGCATTTATACTTAGCAATGGGTAAAATAAAATGCGTCTCTTGGCATCATGCTGTCTGCATGGGTAGGTAGAAAATCCTTCCCATCTTTAATTCCGTGCTCTCAAAGCAGGGTTTTGGTAGCTTGCTCATAGGTCTTTGAGCTGTGCAAGACTTGTAAAGCATTTTGTGTGTGGGAGTGGGGTCAGTGTCTAGCTTTCTTTTTGAAAAGAAACCATTCCAATCTTTCCAGTGCAGTTGATTATTCTTTGGGTCCCTGAACACACACTTCTATATGCAAACTTTGTATATGTTAACAATGCATGGCACAGATGAAGTACTTTATAAAGACTTAAACAAAAACAAACAAACAGATCGTGTCCCATTCTGTCGAAAATTGAGAGAGATTTTCATCTCTGATTGTGCGGGGGCAGTCAACAAGATAACTATTCTTAGAGCGATGCTTACAGAAACCTTTGAAAATATTCCTTTGTAAAAAAAAAAAAATATATAAAATGCTACCTATTGCCATTCTAGAGACTACTAACCATAATAGAAGACTTAAAAAATAAACTGATTTCTGAGAGAAAAGACAAATTGCTCTTGGAATTAAAAATTCGTGAAGAAGTTACGCAGGAATTCACTCAATATTTTGCTCAACAGGGAAATGACTTCCGGTAAGTTAATTTTCTTAGTAGGTTTATTTCTAATTGTTAATTTCTTTTTCTGTCTAAGCCGGTCTAATTTTCACTTCAGATATTCAATATGTGTATACTTGTACTTTTATATAAAATAGGAGGAAAAAGCTCTTAATTATTCAAATCTCTAAAAGAAAAAGAAGAGAAAAAGCTTAATTGGCCCAGTGCTTGTTTGATTGTAAACAATCTCTATGATTCAATCTTTGCATGAACAAGACACGTGTGCATCCTGACATGTGCATGTGACAGGAGGAAGTCTAGGCTGCCCACAATGTTGGCCTACTTACCTGTCTAGGGTGGTCTGCTCTGTCTCATCTGCCATGCCTTGATGTATAAAAGAGGATGTACTAATATGGGAGGCTGCCCATTTTTATGCCCTGATGCCTAGGGCAATCAATATACACTGCTCTGAACCTCCAATTATACCATGCCTCGCAGATGGCATCCAAAGTACAAACTCTGCCACAGGCATCTTCTGACATGCCTGGGCCTCCTGCCTTCTCACCGGGGCCTCCAATGTATGCCCTTTCACTAGGGCTTCCACTCTGCCCATGTGCAGTCTTTCAGGCCCTACTCTACACTGTTGTCTGCTGCCATTACTCTGGTCCATGTGCAGTCCTTAAGGCCCTACTCTACACTGCCACTACTCTGTCCCTTCACTGGGGCTATGGGGCCTTAAACCCCATGGGCCTCAGGTGCCTGCAGACATGCCTGGGCCCACCTGGGCCTTGGGTGTCTGCCGACAAACCTGTACCCTTTTTCAGGCTCCACGCAATAAGCCTGGGTCCTGCCTCAGGCCTGACTTAGTGGGTCTGGGTGCCTGTGCTTTTCTCAGGGTATGGTCCCCTAGCCTTTCACCTCCATGGGGTCACCCACAAGGCAGCAGGGGCTGAGGCTTTCTTGTGTCCCATACTCTCCCTTCACTGGGGAGGCACAGGTGTGGCATTTCCTGGAAGCTGCCCTGCCACAAGCAGCTCCACCACACCATCCAACCCCAGCAGGGTATAGTTTTTAGGTCATTTTCCCCAGAACCAGGAACCTCTTCCATCCCCATAATCCCTGCCCTGTACCTCCCAGATGTTGTAAGCAGCAGCTCCAGTCAGGCTATGTTCTCCCTCCAGCTGCTTGCAGCAACTGCTGGCTCTACTGCTTAGTGCCTGTTCTTACCTCTAGCAGCTGGGCCCTCTTCCCAATCGGGCAGCTTCCTGCTAGCCCTTTCACTTTGCTGATTGGGAGTGCAGTCCCCTGCAGGCTGCTCTGCTGCCTGTTCTGGCCCTTGTGACAGACACCAAAGGTGTCCTGCTACACATCCAATACAGCCTCCTTTATAAAGAGGAAAATACAGCTAACCACATGCATCAATGGGTCATCAGCATGCCTTTCTGCTTGGTTCCAGCATGAGGAAGTGAATCTTACCCTGTGTATAAGTACTCTTATTCGACAGCATAATAATTTATATTTATCTTTTGTCTCTTGTGAAGACACCCGACAGCCTATAAAGGACACAATATAAGAAAGAACAAATGGCATGTTGTATTATGCCAGCATAAGATGGTATATCTACAGTACTTCCCTAGTGTGTCTCAGCAGTAACACCCTGCACACCTGTTCATGCTTATGTACTTCATGACTTGTAAAACACTTTGAGTGTAAAGCAGCAAATGTACCTGTGATAACTGGAGGAGGATGTCTCCAGAGCAGTAATCTTGAGCTAGGTTTGAAACATTTGGGAGCAGCTGTGTGAGATGTCCCTGGAATGGACTGAGATTTGCACTTCCAGGTTTAGAATGAGCAAAGTCAGGAAAGTCCTATGCTAGGACACACTGGGTACATCCCGACAAGTGTGCACATGTGGCTTGTGGCACTCCAAAGCAGTTTGTGGTGCTGCAGAATGCACGTGGAGCACGTGCATCCATTCACCATGCTGCTAATCTTCAGTGCAGAGTTTTGGGGGTTTTTTTGACACCAGGAGATTTCTGCTCCCCCCCACAAAAACAAACAAACAAAAAAACAACAACAAAAACAACAACCCCCAACCAAAAGCCACCGCTGAAAAAAGGGTGTGGTACACGCTGCTGCAGCAGCATACAGTACCAGAAAGGGGGCCTGGCTAGCCCGAGCTATGCTCTGAGCAGCAGGCTTGGTGCTGCCAATGCTGCCTCAGGAGGCCTCCAGGACCCGTAGGTAAGGCTGCTGGCCTCAGCTTCCCCTTCCCTACCCAGGTCACTTGGTTGTGTGCCAGAGTGTGTGCGCAGGAGCATGACCAATAGCAGCGGCACAAATATGTTACTATTTGCCCCAAGGGAAACACTCACCCCTGCACATGCGCACTTGTTGGGATGCTCCCACTAGGGTTATAGAGCATTTGTCTACACTAAGTCTTAACTTGGAGGAGGAGGAGGAGGATGATAATAATAACAACATCTTTACAGTATAAACAAGGCTCTAGTTAAATGCAGAGACAGCTATTTCCATCAGAAAGCAATGATTTTTTTTTTAAATGGTTAAAATCTACTACTCAAACTGTGATGTCAAAAAACATAGAATGCATGCAACTTGTACAATAAAAAATGTACAAAGAAATAAAAATCTAAAATTCTTTATTGACCAGCTAAATCCACTGAAATGAAAGAACACTTGTAACAAATCCTAACAAGTCTAAACTTTCAAGCTACCAAGGCAAATCATCGTATTGGGAAGACTATTCTTATACTTCCTAAAGGTGTCAGTAGCTCATACAGTCCTATTAAAATTGCAGAAGGAAAGCCAGTTGCAAAGAGTATTTAATTCATGAACTAATATTATCAATACTTTCCAGATAAGCACTAAAAAACGTTGCTTAAGTCCTGAAATAGTGACATAAAATCTTGTGTTTTGAGAGAAACTTCAGGCATTTTAAAAATGGCAATCCATAATCCCACTGCAAACAAGTTCTATGCAGGAGATAAAAGTCCAGTAGTGTACAGTAAGTGCTTGAAGTTTGAAGCTCATCATTTCTAAGAATGGAAAATACATGTACAAACGTGTTGCATAGCTCATGTCCAGTGAGGTGCCCGATTTACAACCAAGCTATGAAGTGCTTAAAGACTTGTAATTAAGAAGCTATGAACAAGTCTTTCTAAACAAGACAATAATTGTGTAGTGTTTGTTTGT